AAAAACCCCCCCCCCCCCCCTTTACAAAAACAGCAGTGGAATCTATCCTAAGAAACCTCCAGCATTAGCATAATTTTTACTAAAAATATTTGGTAAGCTACTGGTGGCTACTTCTCCCTAAAACAGAAGGATAAACATTCTGGTTGCTGATAGTTTTCAGAGATTCAGTCAAATTAAAGTTGGAAAGCATTTGGAAGATGGCCAGCAGGAAAGAATAAAAGAAAAAGCAGTTGGGTTCAGGTTTAAATATCTACAAAGTAGACTCGCTGAATAAAAAGGATTTAAATTAACAATGACTAACATATTTTCACAGATGTCATGGGGCTACTTTAAATATGACTGGATCAAACTCATTCAGATTTTTAAAGTGGCCAGTTTTCAAATGAAAAATGTCAAGAGACAAATTCTTCTAGTATTTATAAAATAAGGGGTGGGATTATTTTCATTTCACGTAGTACAAACACTTATAGCTATAACCTTGCAATCTGTCATGCATCTTCAGATCCCAGCAGCAACCCTTCCAATGTAGTCATTGCTTTGGTCTCATGATAATATCGTATTTCATTTAAAATCAACGACATTGTATATTTTCTTAATCTGCTGATGTTACTTTTATGCTTACATGTTTATTCTGGTTTACATTATATATTTTACACATTGCTTTACATTTTCTAAGTTATTGTGATCCACAGTCAATGTGGTGGGTAAAAGAAATAGATTTATCTGAGCTATGTATTCCAGAGGCATTCATAAATCTGGTTTCAGAGCTATCATGGTTACTGGAGCTGAAACAAGCAAACAAAATGTGGTTACTTACCAATCTGTGTGTGGGTCATCAATTATCAAGAGAATTTGGGGTTTCTTCTGAGCTACAGGGATAGGACTTGCTGACTGCTCTATGAGTCCTGCAGCTGCTTGCGTGGTGTGCTTCATGGCACTGGAGATGGAGTTGAAGATGCTGGCACCAGGAGAAAGAGCAGCAGGTTGGTGTACTGGCTGCTGCCTCCTCTCTGTTGCTGGGGAAACCGGGTTGCTGGTGGAATTATCTGGACGCTGAAGGTCCATCATGTAACCATTTGGCAAGTTAGCCACAAAACTACTGTCCGAGAGACGCCTTCGCAGGAAATTCATTCTGAAAACTCTCCCAAAGTCAGACAAAAGAGCACAGAAGCAGGGTCTAAAGAGTTTATCCAAGTTTTTACTGGTTGGTTAATATTCTTTCACCTTCGGTGCTGAAGAGAGATTCTATCACCTTCAATGCTGCTTTCTTTAGTTCTCACCTGTGAAATGTAAGAGAAAACACACTTGAATCAAGCACTAGCAGAGTAGCCCTGCCAGAAGGCAGAGCAAGACAACTGCCTCAGGAGTCAGAGGATGGGTGATTTAAAGAGACAGCAGTGGGAGCTCTTATCCTATCTTCCAAAGGAAGATACAGCAGTGTGTGCCATGTGCTCTAGTCTGCACTCTCTTAGCTTACCTGTTACCCTTGGATATTGTGGAGAATGCTTTCCATCAAGTTATGCTACACGAGTAATTGACCAGACCACCATATACGGGCAATCCAAAGAAAAATGAATTTAACCGTACTACAGAAACAATAAAAACACTCAGAATCTACGACTCAACAGGCTAAAAAAGCAAAGAAATACATTATATACTGGCAAATTGATAAAATGTATAGTAGTTTATGTTACAGAGGAGGTACTTCACAAGATATTACAGGTAAAATAAACTGTATGAGTAATTGATTATAGCTAAGTAATTTGATTAATTAAATGCAAAATGTATTTAACAACTGGTTTGACCCATAGTCATATACTGGGCATAAGAAGTCTATTCTTAGACTCAATGTATAGGCTAGTATAAAAGCAAGACACTGAGGTTCCTGTGGACCGTCATACTGTACGTTTTGCAAGAACAATTATACGCAGGCCTGCTCCCAACCTATACCTTTTTGCCAAGTACATTTCTATAACATCTTGATAGTTCACTGTTCAGTACAAGAACTCATCTCACAGGGTGGTTGTTGTGGGGAAAATAGGATGTTTGCCACCTTGAGGTATTTATAAAAATAATAAAGGTGGGATAAAAAAATCTGAAAATAAATAAAAAAAAAAAAAAGATCAAGTTGACTTATGAACATGCTGGTGTCCCTTAAATTGAAAGGAATAGTTAGTAATGAAATTGAACATGTTCACCCTGTGTTTGAAAGAAAACCCCCTTTTGGCTGTTATATTTTGATATATAATTTTGAATCTGACAATACTTTCTAACAATAGGAACAACCACTGTCCTGATAATAAAAGAATCCCATCTTGGTAACTTAGTGAGTTGCAAAGGCCTTTTGTAATGTCCACTTATCAGGGAAGCCAGAGGCAGTTCAATAAAAGCCAGCAATGCCAGAGAAATAAATCCAGCCCTAATTCTTCAAAATTAGAGAAGCCATCTACATTTTTCAAAGTCTGCCTAAAATTGCACATTGTTTGTCACTCCCCTACAATAAAGGCCCTTTAAATGAAGATTTGCCTTTGCACTTTTTAACCACAAATTGCTATCTTTAAGATTAAATTCCTATGACTATACTGAAGGTATTCTTCTTATACCAAAGATACAAATGAAAATAGAAGATATGAATGCAAACTTGAAAAAGGGTAGAAAAATAAAAAACCTGTATTTTTTAAAATAATGCCTTGGAAAGGCATTCTGAAAACAAACGTAGTATTTTTATTTCTCATTTCTAACCCATTCCTTAGGTTTGATGGTACACAGTGTAATCAGTATTTGCAAAGGTCTAGTATTAAAGCAAGTTTACATGGAATCTTGATTGGCATGAGCAAAGCAAGGCCTACCTTTACTGGGAGAGATTATCCTTTGAAGGACACTGTTCTGAAGAAGAAAAAGACAGAGGCCAAGATGCCACAATCCAGAACACTTGGCAAGGAACTTTTAGTCCTGTCACAGGAAACAGCAGAGACTTCCCAGTCTTCCTTGAGATTTAGGGATATGAAACACGTCTCTGCATCATCTCAAGGCTCTCTGCAATAAGCTCTCATACCTATCACAGCAATTTCATGGTGTTAAATATGGGCTTAAACAGAGTTGTGTTCTTACCATTGTGCTAAAGATGCCTTCACAAGAAGTGATCCAAATATCCATTCCACCAATGAGATGTGATTTTTACTTAATCACAAGAATGTTTACAGTAGTTGTGACATACTTAATGGAAGTAAGCTTTTCCCCCTTTGAGTGGCAGATGGCAGATCCCCAAGCCATTTCAGAAACTGCTTACAAAATCTCCATTTCAGTCCCACGTGGCATGTTCACCTGCCATTTAAATCACTCAGGTTCCAACCACTTCTTCTCTAGGGCTCACAGACATAGTGGCATGGTTCAGAGTGATCATGCTACTCCTGCTAGCCCAAGCAATATAGAAAGAACATGAACAAGAAGCAAAAATTGTCATCAAGAACACACACTTATGTCCCCGTGATAAATGAGGATACATGACAAATTGAATAAATCATGGGGATGTCAGCTGAAGGTTGATTGAAGTGGCTGTAGCTGCTGAGTAAAAATGGCACTCTGCAGCTTAGGATGAAAGGAAGGTAACCAAATCCAAGTCAGGACTCGTCATTCTTTCATCTGCGCAAATATAGACATGTAAAAAGAGAATGTCACCCATATAGCACATAGTCCCGCAAGGTTTTGATTCATTTTCAGAATTTCACATGGTGGAGCTTTTTCTCTTGTCATTGGCCAAAAGCCATGCACACAAATAGTTTTATACTTAAAAGGTGAAACAGTATACATCTTTGCCTTAGAGAATTTACAATTTAATTTGAAAAAAAGTTTTCACATCATACTAACACACAAGAGGATTTGTTTAGTTTTGGTTTTAGAACCTGTGTCAACCCAACCAATACAGCCTAGTATAACCAGACTACTATGGCATGTAGCACAAACCAGGGTTAAAATAATCTTGGTTTAATGTGAACCCATCCTATTAGGCAGTGAGAAAGGATACCAGAATGAGAGAGAGAGAGAGAGAGAGAAAGGCAGAGAGAGAGAGATGGAAAGAGATGGAGAGAAAAAGAGAGCGAGAGAGAAGCTAAGAGCCACCACCAAGAGTATGGGAAAACTAGGGAAAGAATGAGAAATTCAATTATATATATATATTGTTTTAAGATAGAATCTTGATGCTGTATTGTATGAAATGTAAGGAGGAAAGGGCCATTATGAGTCAGGGCAGGAGATCACTGAGGGAAATTGGTTTAATAAACAGTAGCTTTATTACATTTTTCTTAGTATTACCACAAATGCACTCAGGCATCTTACATAACATTATTAATTCTATCTCTACATGGCCCAGCAATTATAGTTTTCTGAGTGATTCCAAATACAGTTTTCTGAGTGATTCCCAATCAAAAACATCCAAGTAAAAATTCTGAAAAGTACAAACACCAGCTAGGAAAGAGAGCAAAGTGTTTACAGTCAGTACCCACAGTTGCAAAAACAGCAATAATGGCAATAATACACTGTTGAAAAACACAAAAACACAAAGCCACTGGCAGCAAAACAAACTCAACACTCAAGGATTTTATAAATATCTGGCATAACAAACTGGCCCTCACCTGGTGCTGAAACTTGTTTAATGCAGATTTTTTCACTGGGAAACTTTTTTTCACTGGGAAAAAATGTCTCTGCCTTAAATCATTGGAAGGGGGGAGAGTTTACCTACAGAAGCCATTTCACCTTCCCTGTATTTCAGCAAGAGAAAGCCTAAGTATTTAAAATCTGTTGGTAGAGCCATCTACTACTTGAAAATAACGTTTGCATCTGAGATATAAGGACTATGCAGATTTGCACGCATTTCCAAAAAATGAGAAGGCTGTTTATTATTTTCCAAACTGTTATTCCAAATATGGTAGAAGACTGACGGACAGAGTATTAGTGGGGCTGAGGAGAAATGCCCAAATGTAATTTCTTTAGGCCTAGTATGAACTTGTAACACATGGAACGCCTTCTCCTCCCAATCCTGGCTAGTTTGGAAATTAAAATGACTAATTGAGGGGAATGCTTCAGCTTCTTTTCCTTCCCTTTTCAAAACTTGTTGTGTTTTGACCCCTATTTGTATTTATAGCACAAAAAGATCTACAGCATAAGTATATATTAAGCGGAAGATGTGACATCTTTCTTTCACCATGGGGTCTAATGAAGGCTTGAGGCCTCATGCATACTCTGAGATTCATAGTGCATTAATTTTCGCTGGGAGACAACAGTGTCTCTGATTATTCCACTTATTCCACTTCCCCATTAACAAAATCTTGCCACAGTTTAGTGATTGCTTCTGCCGATGCAGAGGACATGTCAACAGAAATTAAAGATTTCTATTTCTGGGACTTGTGGTTCTAGGTGGAACATGTTACTCTAGGGGTCATGCTTCTTTCTGCTTCTCAGATTCCTTGTCCTACAGCAAGTCCATGCAAGAGCATTCATTCTTGTTCTTCTGTTCTTTTCCTGCTTCTGACTGAATCCAGGAATTTCCTCCAACTCTGAACATCCAGTACATAGCTACTCTGTATAAATATACCCCACATGCAGATCCAGAAAAAATAAGATTGCATAAATCTCCAGACTCAATAAACAGTGTGATGTCAGTTTTTCTCTCTTGGTAATCGTCTTCCCAGACTTACCTTATTACAGCATTGGCCTTGTTACCCAACACATGTCCTGCTTGGAGGCTTTTTTGTTGTTGTTGAACTAAGGTTGTTTTATTATCTATCCATCTATTTATCTATCATTAGTCTAGAGGCATGTTTAAAGTTTGTAGCTGTACATGCACTGTTAAATTAGGGTTGACCTAATTTAAGCTTTTGAAAAAGAGGATGCTTTTATATGAAGCATGGTGTGCAATTTATTTATTTAATTGTTGTTGTTTTTCTCTCTCTCTCTTTCTCTTTCGCTCTCTCCCATCCCAAGGGTGCATTTTGTAAACCACCAGAGTACAACATCATTAACTGGGGTTAAAGCAGCGTTTGCCACCTTCAGAAGGATCTTCCCCTAAAGCCAGTCCAGAACTATATTCAATAATGCAGCTTTTAATGTTATAGTAACAAGCATAAATAACAATC